GACGGCCCAAGAATCAACCAGTGCTGCGTAGGAGGCATGATTTGTTACTTCCCACGCGCTCTACAAGGAGAGGTACCGTTCCCAATCTGATCGACATCGCCTGAAGGCTACTCCACGGGCGCTCCACTCTCGTCCCATCAGATTCGCCCCGTGTCAGGTCCCCTTCAACCGCCTCCACGACAAGCTTCCCCTGAGCACCATCCCACCCAAGGTTTCAACACGAGTCTATTTTCTGCGACGAAGGTCCTCTCGCGGCCTACACGAAACCAATAACTACGCCCGCAAACAACATCCGACCAGACAACTGGGCGTCGGTGGGTTAGGGAAGCCTGTCTTCCAAACCATGTCTGCCCCTTCGGAACATGATTCACTCCTGCTGCGTATTCATGGGCACCCGCCAACTAGACCCGAGTCAAAGACAACCCGGCCAATCATCCGGGTCATCACGATACCTCCAAGATAACATGCATTTTGAGACATGACCTGGATCATCATCGGGCGTCCCGCCCTCACTGTGAATCGGTCTGTTACACGTCGGCGGGGCATCATCAGAGTGAGGGGGGCCGAACGGTTATTCACTGTCCCTGGGCACGTGGCTGAAGTGAGGTTTTGGGGTGCGGATTACTATTGCTGTTTAATGCCCTCGTCCCCTCCGCGCCCCGGCCCGCGACCCACCCGCGACCCACCCGCGCCCCACCCGCGACCCACCTGCGACCCACCCGCGACCCACCCCGCGACCCGCCCGCGACCGACCCGCGACCCACCCGCGACCCACCCGCGACCCACCCACGACAAACCCGCGACCCGGGCTGCGACCCACCCGCGACCCACCCACATTAGTTTAACGAAAAATCGGCGCCTGCGGCGAGCTCGTCGTACAGCTTGTGCAAAATAAGCATATTCGGCTGGCTTCTTCAGAACCTCGCAGACTGCCGACGTCCCCGCCAACCCCTCACCCTTATTCATAAGTGCGGGGTGCTACGTGTTGTCCTGTGTGTGCAGGCCCATCATCCATCTCCGAAAAAAAAGGGTCCGCCCGGATCCCACGGGCCCGGCCCCAAAGCATCATGGGAGGACAGAGGCCCCCATAACGAGTCCAGAGGGCCCCAACAGGCCCCCAAGACAGTCCAAGAGGGCCCCCAGTCGCCGAAAGCTCCTCCAGGACGGCCAAGTAGCCTCCGGACGACCTAAGACGCCCCAGAACGCCCCCAAAGACCTCCAAGAGCCCTCCCAAGAGGGCCCCACGAAGCATTCGCTGTTTTGCAATCCTTTTTTGAAAGACTCTAGCGTTTTCGTTCGGTTCCCCGACGATCCACGACGGCCCAAGAGGCTCCCAAAATCCCCCCAGACGGCTCCAGAGGCTTCCAAGAAGAAAAAGAAAAAGAAGAAGAAGAACAAGAAAATTCGCCGGCCCAACGGGCCAGAGGCGTGCTAAGATCTCCGGTAACTGGTTAAGAATTCTCTAGTTCGCGCGCGCGGGGCGGCCCCTGGGGGTCCCCGGACGAAAAGTACCCCGGCAAGGTCCTGAGAGAGTCCCGGGAGGAGTCCCCCAGAGCGCTCCAGGAGCGCTCCATGAGCGCACCAACAGGGCTCCGAGACGTCCCCGAGAGCCCCAAGAAAGGCCAAGAGGCCCCCAAGAGGCCCCCAAGATGGTACACGAGGGGTCCGACATGCCACAAGATCGCTCCAAGACGCCCAAGATAGCCCCCAGACGCCCCAAGAGGCCTCCCAGAGCACTCCCAAGAGGGCCCCCGGAGGCAAAATTCATTGTTTTTCCTTAGGTTTTTGAAAGATTTTGGAGCTTCCACCTTTTCGGTTCCCGACGCCCCAAGACGGCCCCAGAGGCCCCCAAGATCGCCCCAAGAGGGCCCAAGAGGCCCCCAAGAGGGCCCCAAGATGGCCCAAGAGGGCTCGAAGACGGCCCAAGAAGCCTCCAAGACGGTCCAAGAGGGCCCCAAGAACACCCCCAAAGGGGCCCCAGAGAGGGAACACGACACAAAATTTCGCGCCCTCGGCCCTAAGAAGCCCCTACGAGGCCCCTAAGAGGCCCCAAGAGGCCCCCACGAGGCCCTCAGGAGGCCCCCAAGAGTCCCCCAAGCGGCCCCAGGAGGCACCCCAAATGCCCCCCCGAGCGCCCCAGGAGTCCCCCAAGCGGCCCCAGGAACCCCCAAAGCGCCGCATTGACACCAGGCCCTCGGGCAAACGGCAGACATGAGACCGTATGGGCCGGCGGAATGAGCGAAGCGATTCAATAATAACAAGAAAAAGAAGAGGAATAATAAGAAAAAGAAGAAGAAGAAGAAGAAAAAGAAGAAGCGGTCTGATGACCGGCCGCGGCAGGCCGGGCCCCTGACGGCGCACGGAAAAGCGCCTGGACAGACAGAGTGAGACGAGTAACTGGGATGCGTTCTCTTAGTCGGACCACAGGACGGGCCGACAAAGAAACGCTGGCCAGGCAAGGAACCGAGACAGGCGGGAAAGCGAGGAGCCGAGGAGCGGAAGAGGGGGGGGGGAGAGGAGAGACGACTGGAAGGACAGACCGGGCCGACAGACGGAGGACGGGGAGACGGAGCAGGGAAGCCAAGCAGGGAGACGGAGGGAGAGCACACAAGACACAACAGGAAAGGAAAGACAAGGGCAAGGCAGAGGACACGGGGAGGAAGAAGGGAGAGGGGGAGCCGAGAGCCAGAAACGAGGCAAGGAAGGAAGAAAGGGCACACAGGCCAGTGCACAGCGCGAAAGAACAAACTATGCGAATGTTCAAAACATTGTGAATACTCATCAATGACCGTTGGAAGGTTGTCAGAGATCGTCGGCCCAGCGCTTGAGGCTTCCAAGAAGGCCCCTTAACAAACAAAGAGGGCCCCCGCACAGCCCCGCAGACGGCCTCTAAGAAGCTCAAAGAGGCCCTCATAGGCCCCCATGCTGCGCCCAAACGAGCAGCAAGAAGCCCCCGCAAGGTGCCCAAGAGGCCCTTGGAAGCAACACGCTAGGACCGCCCGTTCCCCAAGGGGTCGGCGGTGTGGCGTAAGCACAAGAATCCACGTCCGGAAGTGACGTGCTAAGCGGTAGCGTTTTCTGCGGAGGCGATGATGCAACGTATCCAATGCATCCAATCGTTGCAAAATTCTCACATGTTGTTTTGTTTTACATTATTATGTCTCCCCCCCTTGGAGTCGCGCCACTCCGCTGACCCAATATGGATGTCCACCTTCTCGGGCTCTCGAAACCAACAAAAAAAAAGGAAATCGACGATTTGGGCCTCTGGGGCCTCCTGGGACTCCAAGAGGGCCTCAAGATGGCCCAAAATAGCCCCAAAACGGCCCCAAGACTGGCCTGGATGGTCCCAAGAAAGCCCGTGAGGCCCCCAAGCCGGCTCAACGGGGTCCCAAGAGGACTCGAAAGAGCGCCTCCAGGAGCCAACATCGTTGATGCCCCGTTGGGTTTTTAAAGATTTTAGCGTTCTCGCCTTTTTCACTCTCAGAGGACCATGATGGCCCAAGCAGCCTCCAAAAAGACATCAAGACGGCCAACGAGGCCTCCAAAGGGGCCCCAGGATGATTGCTCAAGAGGGCACCGAGACGGCCAAAAGAGGCCCCCAAGACGGTCCAATGGGCCCCCAAAGACGGCCCAAGAGGACTCCAAGAGAGCCCTAAGGCGGCCGCGAGAGGCCTCCAAGATGGCCTCTGAAGGAGCCAGACGGCGCAAGAGCGCCCCAAGCCAGCGCAAGATGTCAACAAGAAGCCCCAAGAGTCCCCACACCGGCCCCAAAGACGCCCCAAGAAGACCCCCTCCCAAGAACCCCCCATGAGGCCGCCCAGGAGCCCTGGGGATTGCGACAGCCGAGCAGGTCACGCCAACCAACGCCCACATCTTCCACATTTGAGCACTTTTCCACAGCGGCGATTACGGCCGCGAGAGGCGCCAGACCGGCCTCGAGAGGCCCCCAGACCGGCCTCCGAATGGGCCACACGTGGCAAGAGCGCCCCAAGACGGCCCAAGACGCCCCCGAGAGGCCCCAAGAGGCCCCAAAGAAGACCAGTGCAGACGAGGCCCCAAGAAGCCCCCGAGACACCTCCAAGAGGCCACAAAGAAGCTCCCAAGAGGCCCCGCAACGACTGGACTGTACGTGCTCCAGACGTGCACCCCGCGAAGCGCGAGGAATCGATTATGCCCTGCTGGAGAAACGCACTGCTGCACACTTAGAGATCTGCATCCCACGGACTCCCGCCAACAAAACGCAAAGGCAGCGCACCTGGACACTCGCGGCCCCTGCTGCAAGGAACGGCCAGCAATGCAGGCGAGACCGACGGCACAGTGCCCAGCACCATAGCATCCAGAGGATCCATCGATCGCAGACAATCCCTCTGCTCGCCGACTGCTGCATCAGTGCCTTCCTCGATGGAGCCGACAGGGGGGAGACTGGCTCAGAGGGAGGACGTCGACCTGTCATCGATGACACTCAGATAAATCACAAAACATAATTAGATCAGCGATGGGCCCGCGATAGCGAAACCGGTGGAGCACCCAGGCCCTGGTCGGCGATGGATAGGCCATGGGGGGTCGGTACTTCCCCCCCTGGACCAGCCCCCCCCCCCTACCATTGCCCCTAACTTCCCCGGTCTGCTCCATCCCTTCCTCTGCCCTCTCCATCTCCATTGAAGTCGCTTGGCCTTCGCATAGACCTGGTGCCTGCGGGCCTGAAACCTACGAGGTGGCAGGCGGCACGCACGGCTCAAGGCAAGCACGTACGCGCAGACAACGAACAAAAACACACCGATGACAAGTCACCTTGGGGCCTACCTCTGCTCCTGTCTACAGTCGGACTCGATCGGACAGGACACACGAGGGGACACAAGACCCTTCCGAGGACCACAGTGCCACAGGAATGCAGGAAGCATGGGTCGCGAGACACAGGACACGAGGGTACCCTTGATTTGGCAGGGTCGGCCTGCTAATCTGGGCCGACTGTACTGCTCAACCCTGTCCCAGATGCTGACCGGTGAATTGTTCGTGTGGCGCAGCGCGTCAGTGTACACCCAGATATTTGTGTTGATTTTCTTGTCGATGTCGACGTTGAACCAAATTCTGCGGCCGATGACGCCAGACGCGATCCCGGTCCCGAAGTGGATACACGCAAGGTACACGAAGCACTGCACGAATTGAAACACCGTCATAATCCAAGGATAACTCTCGCTCGTTGGGCCCACGAATGGATGCACCACGCGCTTAACGAGGAACTTGTTGAAACCTGGGGGGGGAAAAGGATTTTGCTTTACACCCCGCACAGATCTCTTACCTCCCCGTTGTCTGATCACCGCTATAGCCGATTCCTAAATGTTCCTATGTTAGTGCGCAGCCGCTCCTGAGGCACAATAGCCAATGCCGTCGGATTGGGGAGTCGGGGTACAAACTGCTGGGTGGGCGGTGAAGGAACCTTGGAATAACATAACAGAGCAGAAAATGGAAATCGTTGTGCTGGTGATCTGCCAGGAATACAATCTGATGTCGTCGTCGGGCCAATTCGTCAGGTAGAACAGGATCATGACGAACGATATCATTCCCAAAAGCATAATCGACGTGTCTAAATTACATATCTCCTGCTGCTCGGAGTCCTCGGAATGCTCCTGCGCAGGAGTTCCAAATAGAACAAATACGTCGCATGTTGTTAAAACTGGCGAACGCTTGAGCACTCCCGAGGAGCGCCCGCAAGTACATGACCCAACCCGGCTGGAGAGAAAGGGCCTAGGCCCGTCGCTCGCAGATTCTACACACGCCGCGAGACCAGACCGCGTTGACAAGTACCCTGGCGAAGGACCCAACCATAAGCAGCTTCGAGAATCGCGGGGCAGGTGAGAGAAGGAGGAGAGGGCCAGGAAAAAAACCGCGGCGCTGACTGGGCGAGAAAAGCCGAGGGGCTCGCGGGGGAGTGTGCTGCTTGGCGCGAGCCCCGTGCGCCGCCAGTTCGTGCCCACTTCCTTCCCAGCTCCTTCGCTTCTCTCCCTGCTTGTCGTGGGCGACACTGGGCTCTTGCCCGCCCGGCCCGCAGCGGCCCGAGCCCCGGGCCCCGCCGTGCTGTATCTACTTCCAGCGACCGAGGCTCTGCAAAGGGGCCCTGGGACACACAAATGAATACACACACACACAAGCACCAGGATTCCCCATGTTCTCCCATATCTTCTGGGTCTTCGTCCTCCCCCCCACTTCCCAGATCTTCCCACATCCTCCTGGGCGCTGACGATGAATGGTGTCTGTGTGTTTTCTCCCCTCCTGAAAGTCTCCCTCGCCCTCCCCCCCCATGCCCCCTTGGCCGGGACGAACTGACCCCCCCCAACGGCTCTTGTGAACGGAGCTCGCTCGTAAAGCCTGACAAACGTGAACCGACCACGCGATTACACGACCGTGCGCCAAGAGCGCATCACCAACCCGTTTCGCGGACACAACACGGAAGACAACGATCATCACGACAAGGACGACGAACACGACGACTACGAAGACGATGCTGGGCCCCGTGCATGGCCGAGTCCCCGCGCCGCGCGCAGGCTGCCCGGTGCGCGGCGCGGCCAGCAGGCGCCGCGCGCAGGGCGCGCGCTGCCTCGGGCTGCCGGAGGCAGAGCGCAGGGGTCCCCGCGAGCCGGCCGGTGGCGCCACGATCGAGAGCTGGGCGAGGGCTACTAAAACCGTGGCTGCCAAAACGGCCCTCCCGGAAAGAATAAACAACTTCCCGGAAGGAGGCGCGGCACGCGAAACAGACAACGGGCTTCTTCCCGGAAGGACGAAGACAACTTCTCAGAGGTCGATTTTAGCAGCCACGGATTTGACAGCCCTTGCCCAGCTTCCGACACGAAACGTGCGAGGGGTGTGCCTTCAATGGAGCTCCCTGTGGGGCCACGAAGCGCGCGAGGGGTGTGCCGACATGGACATGCGGTGGGCGGGGGGCCGCATGCGAACCGTGCCACTGGGGCCTTCGGTGGAGCTCCCCGTGGGGCCACGAAGCGCGCGAGGGGTGTGCCGACATGGACATGCGGTGGGTGGGGAGCCGCATGGGAACCCTGCCACTGGGGAATTCGGTGGAGCTCCCTATGGGGCCACGAAGCGCACGAGGGGTGTGCCGACATGGACATGCGGTGGGCGGGGAGCCGCATGCGAACCCTGCCACTGGGGCCTTCGGTGGAGCTCCCTGTGGGGCCACGAAGCGCGCGAGGGGTGTGCCGACATGGACATGCGGTGGGCGGGGAGCCGCATGCGAACCATGCCACTGGGGCCTTCGGTGGAGCTCCCTATGGGGCCACGTGAGGGGTGTGCCGACATGGACATGCGGTGGGCGGGGAGCCGCATGCGAACCATGCCACTGGGGCCTTCGGTGGAGCTCCCTATGGGGCCACGAAGCGTGTGAGGGGTGTGCCGACATGGACATGCGGTGGGCGGGGAGCCGCATGCGAACCCTGCCACTGGGGCCTTCGGTGGAGCTCCCTGTGGGGCCACGAAATGTGAGCCGAAAAGAACACGCGGCGGGCGGGGAGCCGCATGTGAACCCTGCCTTTGGGGCATTCGGTGGGGCCCCCCCCTACGGGGCCACGAACCGCGCGAGGGGTGTGCCGTAATGGTTGACGTGCAGAGGGCAGAGGCAGAGGTGGGAGGAGGGAGGAGGGGGAGCTGCTTCTTCAAAACGAGGACCCAATTCAACACAGGATGGTTTGAAATGATTGAAGGAGATGAAAAATTACCCTGGCGACGTACCCAACCCCTGCGCAAAAGCGGGGCGCAAATAGTTTAGGATACTTTATAAGGGGGCGATGACGGAGCGAGGGTTACATATGTCTGCAGACGGAATTCGGGAGACTCGCAGGACACTGGCTACAGGAAAAGGGCTTGATAAAGCTGATGATTTACAATTCCTGAGCACTCCTAGCCACTTCGAAAACGGGGATCACAGCAGGCCTCGAAAGTGGCGACAGGTTCACAGATCGCAGCCCCGCAGGGACGGCGAGGTCTCATTTGAATATGCCCGTGGCCCTCACTGTGCTGGGCCCCCCAGCAGGCCTCGAAAATGGCGGCAGTTTCGCAGATCGCAGCCCCCCAGGGATGGCGAGGTCTAATTTGAATCCGCGCGTGGCCCTCACTGTGCTGGGCCCCCAGCAGGCCTCGAAAATGGCGACAGTTTCGCAGATCGCAGCCCCCCAGGGATGGCGAGGTCTAATTTGAATCCGCGCGTGGCGTCACTGTGCTGGGCCCCCCAGCAGGCCTCGAAAGTGGCGACAGTTTCACAGATCGCAGCCCCCCAGGGATGGCGAGGTCTAATTTGAATCTGCCGCGATTACCCTCTATGCTGGGCCCCCCAGCAGGCCTCGAAAGTGGCGACAGTTTCACAGATCGCAGCCCCCCAGGAATGGCGAGGTCTAATTTGGATCTGCCGCGATTACCCTCTATGCTGGACCCCCCAGCAGGCCTCGAAACTGGCGACAGTTTCACAGCCCCCCGCAGGCAAGACAGAAAGAGGCAGGAAAGAGGCGGGAGGCGGGAGGAGGAAGGACGCGACCACACTGCTCTATTCAAAACGAATACCCAACCAAGGAGGGTTGGGAATAATGATACTGGAGAGAAACTGCTACCAAAGTCTTTTTAGGGCTATAGGGTTGTGGGGCTAGTGAGCTATAGGGCGATGGGGCGATGGGGCTATAAGGGCTATGGAACTGTAGGGCTATTGGGCTATAGGTCTATAGGGCTATAGGGTCATAGGGCTATAGGGCCGTAGGGCTATAGGGCTGTAGGACTATAGGGCTATGGGGTTATTGGGGCTCTGGGGCTATGGGGCGATATGGCTATAGGACCATAGGGCTATGAGTCTATAGGGCTATGGGGCTATAGGACCATAGGGCTATATAATAGGGTCATAGGGATGTGGGGCTGTGTGGCCATAGGGCTATTGGGCTATGGACATATAGAGCTATAGGGCTATAGGGTTATAGGGCTATGAGGCAATAAGGCTGTAGGGCTATAGGGCTATAGGGCTCTAGGGGTATAGGGCTATTGGGCTATGGGGCCATAGGGCTATTGGGCTGTGGGGGTATAGGGCTATAGGTCTATTGGGCTATAGGGTGATAGGGCTATAGGGCTATAGGCCTGTAGGTCTAGAGAGCTATAGGGATATAGAGCTCTAGGGCTCTAGGGCATTAGGGCTATAGGGCTATCAGGCTATAAGGCTATAGGGCTTTAGGGCTATTGGGCTATAGGGCTATAGAGCTGTTGCACTATGGGGCTATGGGGCTATAGAACTATAGGGCTATAGGGCTATAGTGCTGTAGGGCTATATGGCGATAGAGCGTATCGGGCTGTAGGGCTATAGGGCTATAGGGCTATAGGGCTATCAAGCACCCAAGCACCCGGGCACCCAGGCAACCGGGCACCTGGGCACCTGGGCACCCCGGCACCCGGGCGGGCCGCGGGAATCGGTGACAAACCTCACCTAATCATATGAATATGCTAGGACCCCTATAGAGGCAAGCTCTGATTGTTTTTTGTTGTTGCTGGAATTGGCCAACGTCTGCGTTGCTGGAGGTGGCCAAAGTCCACGTCCAGCCGCGAGGGCGCTCATCTGAAGCAACCCCGTATCAGCTTGGGCCAGATGAGAGAAGTTGTGTGCACCTACGCAGTGCTGTCTTTCTCGACAATGGTAGCTGCGAGAGCGCCGGATCCACGGATCGCCTCCTGCGAAAGTTTGCGGGTCGTCAGAAGCGAGAGAGAGAGAAAGGCAAACTAGCAGGGCAATGGACACGCAGAAGAGAAATCAGCGTGACAACAAAAATGGCAAAAAGAGTTTGTCCTGAACTCGTGTGGCAAGCTGGCGAGGGTCGAGAGGCCGGACAGCTACAACTCGAGGTGCGGCGCTCTGCATTGCGCAGAAAATTCGCTGGGGGAGGACGTTGCACTGAAGTGCCAAAACATCAAGGTGCTCGGTCCACGACGGGCTGCCAAAGAAGCATCCGAGCGCTCGAATGAATGCCGTCTACCCCGACCCACACCATCCGAATCCTCCGACGGATCGCCCTGCCAAGCCCACCCACCGTCCCTCCATACAACTGTAAGGCCATGGGGCCCAACTCTGCAGCGTAGCTCTCCGCGGCAGGGAATCCTGCCTGATCTGAAGGCAACAACTGCAAGGCCCAGCCGCTATATACGCCTCCGCGCCGCGAAGCACGGGTTGACCTACAGGGCCTCGTGCCTCTCACCTGGCGCGGCGAGCAACTGAGCAATACGTAAATGGCTCCAAAGGAGCTCCATATGTATAATCCTGTACCACGGCAGGGCAGGCGGGCTCAATAACCGATTGCGATGGAGCCCTGTCGATGCGGAGCTTGACCATCCGGACCCGCCGATAGGGACAGCGTCTTCTGGCACCCTGCCTCGGGCGACGCAGCCTCCGTGTAATCATCCTCGCCCAGCAGCCCTCCGACATGAAACCCAGCACGCCGAAGGTTCTTAAGGTAGACGTTCAAATACTGCTCCCCCTCGCCAGTGTGACAGTGGACGACTTTGAGCTCCACTGGCCCGAAGTTCACCCACTTCGGCTTGTTGTCGCGCGCACCGCGAGTGTTGAAGTGGAAGCCTCCGGGCTGCGCCTTGTCTG